TAGCCAACATCGCCATGCAGCTATAATATGTTGGTATGTACCGGTTTTATTGGCTATAACTGGTCTATGCCAGCAACAGTTGTATCTGGCTATATTTGGCAATAATGTGAAACATTGCAATGATAGCAGCATTTAATCATCATAACCATTTAATTATCATACTCATGTAACCCCCACAACCATAGAGGATATAAACCATGACTGTAAACTACATAATAACTATACAGATCTTTACAGTGTATATACTGCAACCATTTACTAATCAGTCATGGTTAGTACCTTCCAGTTATATCCAGTTATAAGTGGGTTCTGGTGACTTATTAACCACGAACTTCCAGGATCGTCCAAGTATGGATTGTAACCAACAGAAAGTTGAATGAATTAGAAGCCAATGCGCAACAATAGAACTTCAACCAAAAAGACTCGACGATTTAGCTTACTTACATGGGTGAATGAGATGCAAGAATGGTTAGCAACACAGAACAGAAAAGTGGAACTGTGGGGATGGGTTCAAAACTGATTAACGCCAAACTGGATGAACTTCCGGACGTTTCAGACTGTGTTTTTGGGGTTATATCAAGGGTACTGTAATTGATTTTTAATTCTTATTTTTTAAAGGTATTGATTCTTACCATTATATCATTATTGCTCATGGATTTCAAACATGTGAGTCGGATGTGGGTCACACCTCAGGACTCGGAGCATGAGTTCCCGGAGAAGAAGTTGGACTTGTACAAACTGGAATCAAAACCCATCGTGCTATTCCAAGCAGCCAACATGTGCCACTCAGCAGAAACTGAGAAAACTGAGACTGGTTCCTCAGCAACACGTGAGGTTTTCCAGATTTATGATGTTGGTGTTTCAATGTTTTCTGGTGAGTTGGAGGCAACCAGTGTGCTTTTGTCAAGTGATTTTTTGCTGCCTTCAGCGACTGTCAGGTTCACTGAGGAATTGTGTTTTGGGTTCACAAATCATCCTACTTAGATCATCTTAGACCTACTTAGTATACTAGTGGATATTGATCTGTGCATACCATTGCATATCTGGGATATCCAAGATTTAAGCATTTAAAGCAGCTTGTAACCGTGAGCTGGCAAGTGGGAAACACATAACCCCTAGTTGCACCGTTGCACGTTACCCTCGATTTCCAGAAAGCGCAGTCACAGTGAGGCAAAGACGAGGGCAATGCTACCTGGAAGCAAGCCCTTTGTTTTTGTTCCCCCAATGAACATGTCCAAGAATCTTCACAGGAACCTGGTGGTTGCAGCGGTTGACTAACATGGTGGTTGTTGACCAACAATACTGGCGAAAGATGTGAATTAATGTGAATGCAGTGCTGAAGATAACAAGCTGCACACTGTGCGAACGTCCATTTGTGCAAATCAACTCAAGGTTTTTTCAAGTCTGTGGCTGAACAGAGAAGACACAACTTTAGTATCTTTAGTGGCGCTTTGATTGATGTAGGAATCAACCGTTGAGGTTTGATTTTGGGGCAGATAAACCAGCGGGATGTACCTTTGTCATCTAGGCTGCCAGGTTTTCCATCCTCACAGCTGCACTTTTCTATGGACACACTGGACCTTGTGGCTGGGAGCAGATCTCAACCCATTGCTGTTGTCAAATTGTCAATAATTGTCAATTATACCCGGCATGTTGTTGTCCGCAATTTACATTGCTGGGATTTTACTACTATTATAGGTTGAATCAAGCAACCCGATGTTTTCAATTTGTCACATAGGTTCTCAGCTACCCAGATTCTTGAAGTCCACCTTCGTCAAAAGGTCCGGCTGAAGGATGGGAAAGCCAGGGCCGCCCTTGGAAAGTACGAAGAGGGCCTCTACATCGTGGATAAGTGTCGCGAGGTGTGGCTTTTTAGGAGGGCTGATGGAAGGTCCCAAAAATGGGGCTGAATTCATCAAAGATGAAGATTCAACCAGCAAGAATAAGCAAGAATCGGAAAGTAATGGGTGAGTATGTATATATATATACTGTATATGATATGAGCTACAGCCAAAATTGAGCGTAATGGAAAGTAGTATTCGAGACATCTTTTTTTTTTGGAAATTGAGCTGGGGCTTGGAACATGATAATACACTCTTCAAAAAACGATAACATTTGCATACATTGGCTAAATTCCCAAAACCTGAAAAACAACAATACACTCTTCACAAATTGATGACTTGGATCTATATACTAAATATTGACCGTGGCCCATATATATATATATTATATATAGATAGATGTAATATGATGTAATTTACACACTATTACATGAATAACGAATCAACTGGGTGGTTTTAAGTATTTTCTGGTCAAAGCCTAAAGATGAGATGATGATCCCAATTGACTGTCATATCTTGAGGATTGGTTGAAACCGCCAACTAGAAATGGACAAACGTGATCAAACAACTTGTGGTTTCCAGTTTAAAAGTTGCCCCAAAAAAATACATGTCAAACTCCCATCAAATCCATCCAAGTCCCTTGTTATTGAAATATCATGAAATCTATTGAAATCTAGGGATATATGATATACATATATAATATATAATAGACACTGCTACTGTATGATTCGTAGCTCCCATGAATTACAACTGGGTCTTTCATCCCAGTTGTACCTCCTTTCGGCCCATTGCCAGGTGCTGTTGACCTGGCGATTGATTTTTCGACAGATCCACGATGAGAAAGCGGAGAAGGATCGAAAAGACCGAGGTCGCAGAGCACTTTGGAAAGCGGTTTTTTCATAACGGTTAGATGGGTACGGTTAGATCATGTTAGATATCAGGATTACATTACTATTGGATACTATTGGGGATAATGTATATTATATATAATACATAGATTTATAGAAAGGATACAGGATTTTGAGGTACCAACTATGGCGACGTTGAATATGCTCTTGGTATTTGGATAATTTCTTACATAGCTATTGAACATCACCATTTTTAAGACCGGTACATCGAACGAAATGGGCCATGTTCACTAGCAAACTGTTTAATTACCAAGGGATCAAGGGTACAACCCATTTGAAGCTAGTGTAAATGATCCCATGCAGTTTGGATACAGGAACACAAAATTGAACAGGATTACTAGTTACTAGTAGCTTGTGACAGCAAGCAAGAATTCCTTTTCTAGTTGGGTTATGAAACAGTCCAAAGTTTCTCAACATCGCAACACCCATCACTCGATGGTCTTCTCCCATTGTTTTTGATGGGCTCACGGCTTACAATCTTATCTCCAAGACAAAAGCTCGATTGATTAGATCACCACTTTTGCTTGGTCAAAATCCGCATTTTGCCATTTGCTGAGTCAATCAGCCCTCATGTTTCTTGATCAAATGCCAAAAAAATACTTTATGAATCCAAATTCTTCTGGTCGGAATCCATTCAAATCCCCAAAGTTGTTTCTTTTTCGTGTTTACTTTTGAAGTGGCCAAAAATCCGCATGTATTTTTTCTCGGAGCTTTTTTTACACAGCCGTTTTTGGACAGGTCTGAAGGTGGCTGACCTGTTGGAACCGGATATGCCTCGCAGCTTGGAGAATGGGATGTTTACCATCTATCAACTGGTAATTTAACATAGCTATGGGAAATCACCATTTTAATGGGAAAACTCACTATAAATGGCCATTTTCAAGAGCTATGTTAAATTGCCAGAGGCTATCAACTGGTGATTTCGCAACCATCCACAGTTCCCATAATATGGATCAATGAAATCCATCCACATCTCTTGACATTGCAGTACAATATGGATGTAATGGGAAAAACTGTGAAATAGAATGGGATATTTGTAGCCTGCCATGGGGAAACATGGGAATATCATTGCATATACTATGGGATGAGCACCCCGGAAAGGAACTGCAACCTGACAATTTCTTGGACCAAAAAAAGGCAAATATCCAGGCTTCAGCGAAAGACTGTCCCTGAAATGTCATTCGAAGAAAAGGAACGGTCCCTAAACAATTCCAGTTATATATGTTATATAGGAAGATCAGAAATCTTCCGAACATTTCTGAAGATTGATCAACAAAATACACGTGTTTTCCCCAAAAACGCAACCCAAAAAAAAGAGAAAAGGTTCAATTTATCATAATTTATCATTATTGTCCTCGGTTTTTTAATCAAAATTCTATCTTTTTTATGGAGGTTTTATACAAGAAAATCAGATAAAGTCACTCAAAAACAACCCGGGAGTCCCAACCGAATCAGCCGTTGAGGCGAGTTCCGCAGCGACGAAGACGAGGAACGCGCGTTGCGTCTGGCCTTGCAGCTGAACGCCGCGCAGGCGGCATTGCAGTGCCACGGCGGGATGGGGTGAGGCTGAAAACCCCTGGAAAAACGTGGGATTTCAACAATATTTGGTGGTTGACTGGCAGTCTTTAACCAACAAAATCAACAAACATGGGGGTTTCAATGGATTGAGCTTAACCATCTGAAAAGGGAATATAAATATCATGAATACGAACCTTGGGTTGGTGGTTTTAAATATGTGTTATGCTAGCATATGTTTAGGGGTTTGGAACCACCAGCTAGAAACCTACTTATATTATATATATCATTTGTAAGTAAGGTTATGAAGCAAAGCCCTCGATGTTGTTTGCTTGGTGGCTTTGCAGCGTTCAATTCCGATACGGGTTGGCAACGGCAACTCTTTCTCTTGGCAAATATGGTCGAAAAGAGCGACTTGTTCTTAGTAAAATGGTGCCCCAACTCAACAGACTTGTTTCTTTGGGATGTTACATCCAGGTGGTGGAAAATCCATCAAAATCATATAATGCCAATCGATGATACATCATCCATATTCACACAGAAATCGTTTTTCTTCTCTATCACCCACCTTTGGGAACTCCCATCCCCGCCTCCGCGCTTTAAGGTGCCAAGAATGGAATGCGGTGGAGCTGCACAGCAGCGCAGCCCTACAACTGGAGCCTCAAAATCGGATACCTGGATCCACGTTTGGGGCACGAAGTGGTTGGATCCTGCATTTTGAGTTAATTCCTCCATC